TTTCTCACGAGCGGCCTCACGTTCCTGTTCGATCAACCACTGCTTTCATGTCATTTTCTCAATAGGAACATTTCGCTCTTCGGTACGCTCATCGCGTAATCGTATACGCTGCTGCTCTACCCATGCCCCCAATCCTGAATTCTTCAATCCTAGCTCTTTTCCTACGCTGACTACGTTGTGATTCGTGCCTCACCCCTCTAATTGTTTTAATTGACAATCGCACGAATATGAACGCTGAATCTTGAGCAATATTGATGGGCGCTGTGGATGGAGTGAGCTGTTTGGAGTATCATTTGGCCCCTTTGGTGCCACTTAGGGTAGCGTTAAGGACGAACAAATAGACAAGTCAGGCTTTTCATCGCTGGATTCTGCACCGTTAGAACTACAGGCTTCTCAAGCAAAAGCCCGCGCGAGATTGGCAAGCAGGTAGTCACCATGCTGCCACCCAAGGAAATATTTTTTTAATGTTCGCACTCCACTGGAGGCATCGGTGGACAAGGTCAGCGATGCAATGGAAGAACTGGTTGGCATCCAAGAAATCTACAGTGTTAGTACCACGGATGATTCGACTTCCAGGTCGGCGTCAACTCGACGCGAGCAGTTGAAGTCCTTTTGAAAAGTGGCGGTCTCCGCCTTGGAACCTGAACAGTTCCGGTGGCACGACAGGTAGCCAGCATGACATGCCTGTATCTGCCTTGTTATGCGCCCGACAACGCGGTCGCAATCATCCTGAAGTCCTACGGAACCATGCTAATTATCGAAGAGGTGCGGTATAAAGGCTGCCCAAGTATTCACACGGAAACCAGGTGTCTCATGATAGACATGCGGCTAGAAAACCCGCTCCCAAACTTTGCGCGAGTGGCAGGACATAAAGCGACCTTCGAGTACCGTGGCGTGAAGCGTCTCTGCCGTCGTTGCAACCAAGAAGGCCACTTCAGGGCCCAATGTCACACTCCGCATCGCACCAGATACGAAGTCTTCGGGCACCGCAGAGACACCTGCATCGAACCATGTTCACGCTGTGGTGGAGCTCACGCCAGTGTCTACTGCACCGTGAGGAAATTGTATAGTATGACCGCAGCGATGGATATTGACGAGTTCTCGATAATTGTCATGGCACCCGCCACAGGTCAGACGCAAAGTTTAATGACCACCCTGCGCCCAGCAAAGTGACTGAAGCCGAGTGACGCCGAAGAACGGCCGGAACCACTTGTTATCCCGGAGAAAACGCCGGTGCAGGCTATTACGGCACCGCTGGCACAGTAAGCAGGCAGCCAAGCAGACGTACAGACGCCAGTGAGCATGCGTTGCGACGAGAGGATAGAGGAGGAAGGCAGCCATGCTGAGCCTAGACAAGCTACCGCCACCGAGTTAGAGAGGGTTGCAGACAGCGGCGAGGGAGGGAAGCACTGGTGAAAACAGCGAATGAAGCGCGAGCGGTTATGACGAAGCGGGGTATGACACCGTTAGTGCAGTAAGTTGGGCGACCGTGAACACACGGTTGCTGCGGAGAGGGTGCCGAGGGAGTGTCAGCGACGAAGGTACTGCCCTCGCGTAAAAAGTGTTTCAAGTCACTGCGCCAGGTCGGCCTGAAGGAAGACAAATTAGGTGTTGCAAGCGGGCACCAAGTCCGCCTCAAGGATAAGTCCGCACCGGGAACCAGCACCGCTGTGCGAGGAATGTGGTGGGACAAGAAAGAAGATGACAGGCCGCATGGCCACGACGTCCTGTAGACCGCGTACGACAAGCACCTCAGCAGCTCAGCGAAGCAAGGAAAATCCGTGACGGTGCCAGAAAAAGACGCGCCGAAACACCCCGAAACGTTCATTTCCAGCTGACAGCAACCGCTGCCCGAGTCGGCGCGGCAACATGGCGGCGCCTCGCAGAAGCGCGCCTGGGAGGGAGCTCAACATTGCGCAGCGGGAGGAAGGCCTGGCCGCGAAGACAAGATGACGGAGCTGCTGTGGAAACCCAGAAATAAACAACACCGCCGTCAGACGAGCATGAGCCAGGCGAGCTTGTTATTGACGAGCGTGCACCGACTTCATCAGACTTTCCGGAGCACAATCAGCAGCAAACGTTGTCAATGCCGGCAGGCGTCGGTCGAGGGCAAATCTGCCGGAACCGCAACCTCGATACGGACCACGTTGGAACGCTCCCCAAGTTGCTCAGGCCCTTGAGCTTGAGCGTGCACAAAGCTGACGCCGGGCGGCCTCAACGCAGCGCCAGAAAATTACGACGTGATGCCGTGGGGCGCCCGACAGGCCGCACGTCTGGGAGCGAACACGTAGAGGTGGCGTCAAAACAACATCCGGGCCGGAAGCCGGTAGCAGATGATATGGACACGGACAGCGACCGTTTTGAAAGGTAGGTGCTTTCCATGATTTCACGCCGTCATGTGTTTCCATGGCCACTTTTAACATCGAGGCGCCGAGGGCTGAAGAATTCCATGGTGACGATAGCACGCAAGCCCCAGTGACTCTGCGATAATTGTCACGTGGTACTTTGCGATGTTGATAACGCCCAGTCAGTGCGAAATTGAAGTGTGAATATGTTGAAGAAATAGTCGAAAATCGAGCCCCAACAGTTTAGTCCTCTTAAAGAGTCATGCATGCATCATGTTGTGTGAACATGTCGGACCCCCTCGCCCTTCTTTTTCTTCTTTGCCTTTTTTTCTGTCTTTTTTACTTCGTCGTAGAAATGCACCCTATTGTTCGCGCCGTGAGTGTGTCGTTTCTTCGTTGCTTTAATACCGGCCAAGAGTGCACGTAATGTGTTTTTTTTTGTTTTTTTTTCTTCGCTTGTCTCAAACTGTGCTATGTATTTATTGCACTCTGGTACTTATTGTCATTGCAAATGATTATACCTAGTCGTCTGGAAGCATGAAGAGCTTCATGCGCCCACTCTTGCGAAAAGTGTGCGATGTGAATGTACAGCTGCGCAATGTGGCCACAAAGATATCTGCCAGAATTAGAACGGCTGCGCGTCCACAATACCAACAGGCAGCCCGTGCCATACGACGGGCTTTTTTTTTGGCGATATGTTCCAGGCAGGTCATTGCTGAGCCGCGCACTAAGAACAATTCAATAAGGTATTTGCGATATCGTGCGAAAGCGCAAATGCCATGTATATCCGAAGTCCTAAACTCCAGAGCGGTCATCTGCTTTTTAGGTGGTGGCGTGAGGCAGTTGGCCGAGTCTGCTGCGCATAAGTTCAGCGTGCGTTTTCCAGGCAAAGCTTCATTTTGACTATTTCACTGCCTCATAAGATTAACGTCAACGTGGCAGCCGTAGAGTGGATGAGTTCGCAACACTTAGCATGTGATGCAGGTTCTTCTTTTTTTTTCTCGCCTACAGGGAGGCAAGCGATAACGATGTGTGAGCGCACTTATGTCTTTATGTTCGAAGTCAGGCAGCCATGTGGTACAGCGGCCCATACACACGAGTGCCATATGTGTTGTCTTTCTTTTTTTTTCTCCTTGAGTAGGATGTTCTCGCCAGTATATTGGTACGCTGCACGATGGCCCCACAATGAGCGGGTTCAGGTCTGCCGTATTTAGTCTTGATGGGGCCTACCGTAAACTGTGAGCGTGATACCTGCCGTTTTTAGCATATCGTTTATCTAGGTTCTACACAAATTTCCGCCGTTTCAGTTTTTCCTGTAGGGGTTAGTGCAGACTATGCCAATCGTCAAATTGTTTCGTTTACTTGGTTTATAGAATAACATGGTCATATCAACTAGGCGCTGCAAAAGGAAAAAAAGTCATTCTTTTTGTGTTGTTTAGCAAATGCGAATGTCCTAAAATAATTACATGATATTTCTGGGGTCTAAATACCCCATAGAAACAAAAGCTAGTCTTTAGAAGAGCCAAAAAGTTTCAGTGCGACATTTTATGCCAGCAGGAAACAAACATAAATTCGTTGCGCAAAGCTTTAGGGGACTGGTAAAGTAGTTCTGTGTACATAGATTTTTCTCGTTCCCCACACAACATGCATGTGGCACAGCATATTCGTGTTTAACCCTTTGTATCCCATGCTGTTCGTAGGCACAACAGCAAGCGTTTATTGGCTGACTCTCTATTAAAATGTCCCAAATAACACAGAAAAAAATATGTGTCCTTCAACAAAACCCTATTTATTGAAGAAAAACAACGTACACATATGTGTACACTAGGAACACGAAGTCACTCAGTGTGGAACCTTTCAAAGCAGTTTGCTGGTCCATCTTCTTCGACGCACAGGTACACCTTACACTTCTTACACTGGAGCCTTGTTCTCCGTGAACACTGCGGTAGCTTGCACCTTGGGGCACTTTTCTGCGGCACTTTGACAGGCAGATGATTTACCCCATCATACCTGACGGAAGTGGGTACATCCGAAGCTCGGTTCGACAGCCAATTTTCGGTCAGAGTACGGTCATGGAGGGGCGCTTCGTGTGACTTTTCCGACTTCATTAGCCCAATGGCGACCTGAAGCTTGAATTCTGCGAGCTGGATTTCCGAATCCTTTACGGCGCGGTACAACAACCAGCTGTTCACAACAGCAAGGTCTAGCAAGTGAAAAATGATCCTCTTGTACCACTTCTTCGTCTTCAACTCATTGCGATAGAAAGAAAGCAGCTGGTCCGCTCTGTCGACACCACCCATGCTTTGGTTGTATACTCTTACCAAGCTCGGTCGGGAAACTTCGGTGTATGTTTTTGCTTTTTTGTCGTATCGCCGGCAGACGCCCACAGGACCTACACTATGGGTATTCGATCCAATCATGACGCTGCGGTTGTCATGCCAGTGACAAATAATAATGCCACTGTCCTTTTCTGATCGGAAATCAAAGGATCCACGGCCTTCCCCCTTCAGGCATTTTTCGGTTTTTAGGGGGCAGCGTCCAATTCTGCCGTTTCTCATGGTTGCTGCGCATCCTAATCCGCGACTCTTCATTTCAACTAGAAGATCTGCTGAAGCGAAGAAGTTGTCACAAAATATTTCTTTCCCTTCACAGCTCTCAGAGATTCGCACAACAATTTTTTCCACTTTCTCCGATGTCATTTGACAAATCCGTTGGGTCAATGACTAAATTGTCTCCGTAAAGCTCAATTTTGTACACATAGCCGGATCTCCCGGCCAGTGTCCACACTTTGTAGCCCCACTTTCTAGGCTTTTTGTTCATGTACACCTTGAGGCTGTGTCGGCCTTTGAATGGTACAATCATTTCATCCACGGCAAGGCAATCTTCCATTTCTGCAGCACCCTGGAAATTATAATTCAGCCGGCTGAGCAACGCACGGACCTTGTAAAGCTTGTCGTAGCCATCTTCTTCCTTTTTCTTCTCGGTGTCGTTGTTGCACGCGTGGAAAAGTGAGATCACTTCGTCAAAGCAATTTCTTGGCATGCAGTCCGCAATGTAGGATTGGCGCAATAACCGGGACCAGTACATGCGCCTGAATGGCATGGACACTACAGACATGTACAGGATTAAACCGAGAAACTTCCTCATTTCTTCAAGCGTCACAGGTTTTACTCTCGTGCGGTTGCTCTGGACCCGGAATCGGTTTGTTTCGAATGTCAAATGTTCGATCAAATCCTCATCTACCAGCTTAGTAAACATAGTCAAAGGCGTTTTAGCCTCTGCCGCAGAGACTCTTGGACTTAGAATGCTAGTAGCAAAGCAAAACCTTCGCTGATGTCAAGGTCCTTCTTTACCCAGTGCCAGGTCTTTTTTATCTTGTTCTTCACAGTAGTGGACTCTTCGACATCAAGACCGTCGGTGTCTGACAAGCTAGACGAATCTGTCCCACTACAATGTTGACTTGCGGTCCTTTCCGCCTGGTCATCGTCGGAGCTTTCCAAATCGGAGCATTCGCTCCCACTTGGCCAGTCGAACAAAATTCCCTGGATTTCGGTGTCCGTTAATCCACGCCTGCAGAGAGATATTGTGTTGCATTAAAAACCAAAATTTTTGTGGCAAACCGCGGCGTTTTATAAAACAAAGCGAACGAAAAGCAGCCCCACAGACCAATTCGTGAAACTCAGGAGCCCCGTATTCCTGACGGCAACATATGTGTACGCAACACAGCACGGACGAAAAATAAATACTTCTAATGGGTTTTTCCTAGAGCAATTGACATCAAAATATTCCTTGTGAATTTCTCTATTACACCAGAAGTATTTAAAAGGAAGAAATAGCAGATAAATAGTGAGATATCACTGTAACGCGGAGGTACTTACCGTGGCGGGCATTTTGAGGAAGACGCCATTCTTCTTTGTGTTGTGGTGGAGTTGTCAATACAGGTAGCGCCATCTAGTTAGCATATTTTGAAACTTCAATATAGCGCGAAATTAAAAAACGAAATTTCAATGTTGGGCGACTCACACGGGGTTTTTAGCGCCAATTTATGTAATGGCAACGTTTGTTGCCGCTGGGATACAAAGGGTTAACTGGCCTCTTCTTAATGGAGGTCACTGCACGTTGAACCCAGGTGGTCTAATGGTAGTGTTTGAGTTTCAAGAAGAGCAATTTAGGCTAATCAGTATATACGCGTCGGTAAAAAGTCAAGCAATGGCAGGCACTTACAGACAATTAAACCCGATGCTGTCTGAAAGAAAGCACCTAGTTTTAACAGGTGATTCTAACTGCGTTTTGATTACTTTAAGCGATAGCACAGGCCTGGGCAGGGAGAAAAGAGACATTTACAGTTCAGAACTAAAGAAAATTGTAGAAAAATTTAACTTATTATACGCGTACACACTGTGTCATGGGAAAAGTTTTCAACGCACCTGGTTACGTATCACCTCGCAGGTTCGCTTAGACCGAGTGTATATGACTCCATCTCTGCATTCAACAGTCGTAGACTGTCAGGCGGTTGACCCTACTTCATGCTCTTTGGTCATATCCGACCACAGGCCCGTGGTAGTGTCCTTTGAGGTTAACGGCAATTTGTCTTCTGCCACCCTTGGCGAGTAGACAACAGACTCTTGAATGATGAGACGGCAGGAGCTAGTTTGCGCAACCGTTTGACAGCCTGCATAGGCAACTATAGTTGCGGCCCTCTCAAGCAGGCGCTGGCGAGAAATCTGTACCACTGAGGGTAAAAAGTTGAAACGCCGGTATTTTGGTCTGGTGAGAGCAACGCTCCAGCATATCCGGATAGTGGGAAAAGGGGAACGTACCTCCCTTTTTATGAATACCTATGCCAATGACTTAAAATTAAGATTAGCCTGAATAAGAACGCTGGCGTCTACCCCGGCTAGCTCCTACCAAGCCAGATTCCTTCCTACACTCTAAGGCAAAGTTACCCGAAGAAGGAGTAAGGGAACCCAATAGGAGAGCGCGATGAACGCATAGACCGTTGAAGAGCAACCACAGAGGGAAGCGTGCCACGTGCGAACCACTTAGTCTCCAAACACGCTCCAAAGGAATGAACCACCCGGGAATCGTGGGCGGTGCGAAAAGCGTTGCCAAAGTCACTAGCCGTTCTCCTCCTCTCCAGACTCAGTCTTTCCCTGTATTTTTCTGGCGATGCTTCGCGTTACGTCGCGCTCGGAGTGCTCGACCACGGCCGTCAGAATTCGACGATCTAAGCATTACTACGTGGTGCTTGTGTGTACGCTTGGGTGAGCGTGCGCTGCTGCTTTAATGTTTCGCCGCGCTCATGAAGTCTGGAGAAGGTATCGACACGTCACCACGCCACGCTGTATATCTCTGGCTTCAAGATAGTCACGCCCAACACACGACAGCGACAGTTGGGAAGGCTGACATGGCGGCCGAGTCCCACAGTGGTGGTCTAGTGGCTAAGGTACTCGGCTGCTGACCCGCAGGTCGCAGGATTGAATCCTGGCTGTGGCGGCTGGCTTTCCAATGGAGGCAGAAATGTAGGCTCGTGTACTCAGATTGGGCAGCACGTTAAGAACCCCAGGTGGTCGAAATTGCCGAAGCCCTCCACTACAGCGTCTGTCATAATCATATGCTGGTTTTGGAATTTTAAACCCCACATATCAAGCAATCAAGTCAACATGGCGGCCGAAAAGATAGCTGGCATATCAGATACACTGCTTCAGTCTGACCCTGGGCAGAAATCAGTGCTGGCTTTTTTCGCTAGATGGTGATCATTCGTTATTCTACTCTACTTGTCGCGCGTGCGATACGGATCGCGCTTGCCGGGAACCGGCTTGGTCGCATTGTATATCGCACGCACGAAATGCACAACGAAGGTCAGCTTGGGCGTCTATAGTTCACCTGTGCTTTGCGACCACTTAGAAATTGGCCGCCATTGCCGTCGGCCTTGCATTCGCTCGCTCATCGAGTGCTCACCTGTCTTCGCCGCTGCAATGACCTCTGGGCTCACATTGGACTGAGACCTCTTCGCTGTGTTGGCACGGGCTGTAAGTGCACGGGCTGGCGGAGCTTTCGCTAGCGTCGGAACTCAGTTAAAATTGGTCGCCATTACAGTTGGCTTCCCCGTTAGTCGGTCGCAAGCCGCTCGGCGCTGTCCGTTGGCTGCAGCGGCGGACTCGCATTTGTGTGCTGCACTCGCTCCAGCTCGAGTTTGTCGAAAAGAACCGCATTTTCGTCGAATTCTTCGGCGCTAGCTCCAAACCAGCTAGGTGCTGTTCGTGACGGCAGCCAAGCGTACGCTCACTATTCTGTTCGAAGTTTGCTGGCAGCTGACACTCCGCGGGCAGCGCCGTGTTCGGTTTTGCGTTCGCTTGCTCGAGCTGAACGTCGTCGCTCGCTTAGGACTCTCCGACTTCTCGACGGCACAGTGGTTCACGGAGTTTTGGATGCGGCCACCGCTTCGAAGCTGTTGCGCTGCGGGGATCAAAAGGGGTCTTTGACGTTGTTTACCATCACGGTGAAATTATTAGCATGTCTTACCTCACGTATGTTTTTATTTCACCTTGAAAGTATTTCTCGTATGCATTCGTTTTAATCCTCTGACACGTGTGACTCACTAATTTACATATTTATTTTTGCAACCGTGGGCACACACCGTGCTGTGAGCGCAACCGTGGGCACACACCGTGGGCTGTGAGCGCTGGAGTCTGCGATGCCTGTCACCCATCTCTTTCGTCAGAGCAGCTTCAGAAAGACTGTACGAGATGTGAAGGTAAAGTTACTTGTGTGTGATATTTTACAACCATGTTTTTATATTAACTTGCACGTACTTCTCATATGCGTGCATCTTCAGCTTCTGTCACGTGTGTTTAACAATTTTTACAATCTTATTGCACGTACAGCTGTGCAAATGCAACAGGCGTGCGCTGTCGTCTGCAATGCCTGTCATCTATTGCTTCCATCAGAGGAGCTCCACAAGGAGTGAACAAGATGTGACGAGATTGGACTTGTACACTTCACCATGAATTCACTTAAAAGAAGGGAGAAACTTCATGTGAATGTAGTAAACTAGAAGATTTCGGTGTCTCACTTTTAACTTTTGTTGTCGCTGGGACTTCGTAGGCAGTTACACATAGGTGGCTGTCTACTTTGTCGCGTGTTCCTTTCTGCGCTATTTGTTGCCCACTGCGCAGAAAAACAGGCGAAAAGAGTATTAGGCCTGGCGGAAAATAAATAAAAAGAACTATGTTCTAACGGGACATAAAAAGTTCATCCGGTATAAGTATTTTAGTGCATCAACTGTTTGTCCTGTGAATTGCAACTGTAAGGACTAACGGTTGCCCTGTAAGGTGTAAATGCGGGGATCAACAGTTGCCTTATAAAGTGAAAATGTGAGGAGTAAATGTAAGTCCTTCGAGGTGAATTATGCGGCTAACGCTTACTCACTAAAGTGTGAATGTGAGGAATAAATGCTAGTCTCTTGAGCTCGTCTGTGGGGACTAACTGTTAGACCCAGTGCCGTTAGTCCTTAAAGAAATTAATGGTTGTGGCAGCCCCATCAGTCCCCAAAAGAACGAACCACACACCTTTCAACACCCTTTTGCCTTAGAGTGTAGTTCCCATGCGGAGGTACTGAACTAATTCAACAGCACCCTACTCAGGCAAATGGCAAACCGTGGTAACTTGAGCCGACGGGACATCGTTATGTTTTGTGCGCATTTTGAAACCATGGACACCCATAAACTACAGCTTCACTGAGAATCGCTTCTTGATAATCCGTTTCTAAGCAGTCTTCCATAACTCTCCGATGAGGTATATTGCAGTTTAGGCGCTCCCATAATCCTAGAGAAGCTCACGAAGGCAATGCGTCACCTTTACAGAGGTTCTACACCGAGAAGCGATGGCTTAACTGACGAATTTTACAATGCATTCTGGGACGTCCTAGGACTTATTTCGTGCGTGGTGCTAAACTAAATTTCAAGCATACACACGCTCCCTCCGTCGTTTAGGGAACCGCAGGATAATACCGCTTCCAAAGACGCAAGAGCACCTCGAGGACCCACGTAACTGGCGCCAGATTACGTTATCTGAAACAGACTACAAAATCTTAATCACTGTCCTAGCTCTGCTTCAACAGGGAGTTCTGCCCTCGCTTATCACAT